GTGCAACGTTCTCTATAAGCTCTTATCAAAAATTCTGGCAAATAGACTCAAACCTCTCTTGGGTGATTTAATCTTTGTTTCTCAATCTGCCTTCGTTCCTGAGAGGCTTATCACGGACAATGTTATGGTGGCTTACGAAGTTAATCATTTCCTCAAAAGAAAAAGACATGGGAAGGTGGGTTATGTAGGTGTTAAACTTGACCTTAGCAAAGCATATGACCGTGTAGACTGGTTCTTTCTCAAAGCTATTCTCATTAAATTGGGTTTTGGGAGTCAGTCCACCAATCTCATCTGGGAATTTGTCTCTATTGTCAACTACAAAATTCTGTTGGAAGGGAGGGAAATTGGTTCAGTTGTTCCTAGTAGAGGGTTAAGACAGGGAGACCCAATCTCACCCTATCTTTTCTTATTTGTTTTGGAGGTGTTGGATACTATGATCCAGAAACAAAGAATGATTGGTCAGTTTCATGGTATTCAGGTAGCCAGGGGTGCCCCAGAAATCTCTAACTTATTCTTTGCAGACGACTGCTATATTTTTTGTAGGGCTACTGTCACGGAATGTTCCATAGGATATTATTGAAAAGTTTGTCTTTGCCTCGGGCCAAATTGTGAACCACACCAAATCTTCCATCAATTTTAGTAGGAATGTTAATGCTTCAGAAATGACTCTTTTGTGTTCGAAATGGGAATTAGTGAGGGCTCCCTTAGTGGGTCTTACCTTGGGCTACCTTCTTTGATAGGTAAAAACAAAAGGGAGGTACTGGGCTATATCAAAGAAAGGGTCCTGGGCAGAATTAAAAGTTGGAACAATAGATTTCTTTCAAGAGTTGGTAGAGAAATCCTAATAAAAATTATTCTCCAAGCCTTACCTACCTATGCAATGAGTGTCTTCCTCCTCCCTCTTGAAATGAGTAAAGAGATAGAGAGGGCTATGAATGGTTATTGGTTGGGTTGTGAGGGTGAAAGGAGTAGGGGTATTAGGTGGAATAATTGGGAATCCCTCTGTGTTCCAAAGAATTGGGATGGCATGGGATTCAGAAGACTTAGGGACTTTAACTTATCCATGTTAGCTAAACAGTCTTGGAGGCTAATTCAAAATCCTAACTCATTGGTTGCAAAATTGTTCAAGTCTAGATACTATCCCAAGGGGTCTTTTCTGGAGGCTTCTTTGGGAGGGAATCTCTCCTTTATTTGGCGTAGCATTTTTGAATCTCAATCTATTATTAGGGATGGATATAGATGGAGGTTTGGTAATGGGGCCTCTATTAAAGTGTGGGGTGATCCCTGGATTCCTAACAACTCTTCTCCTTGTCTTCAAACTCCAGTGATTGAACAACTCAAGGACATCACGGTGGACTCTCTCCTTAACATGCAGAAGTCTGATTGGGATGCTGAAATCCTCAAGGATCTGTTTAATGAAGAGGATGTTCATAGGATCCAGAGCATTTCAGTAGCTGTGAACCAAGTGGAGGACAAAATTATCTGGAGGGGAGATGCCAAAGGAAAGTTTACTGTGCGTAGCTGTTATAAGTGGATCCAATACAATTGCAGTGATGTTCGCCCCATCCTGGACCGAAATGTGGAAATTTAAGCTTCCTCCCAAGGTAAAAACATTTTTCTGGCAGTTAAATTCCAATGCTCTACCAACCTACTGTATGCTGCGTACAAAACATGTCCAAACTCCTACTGCAGCTATGTGGTACTGAAGAGGAGTCCAGTGCTCATCTGTTTGTGAGATGTGTTTTTGCAAGAGAGTGCTGGGATCACATAGGTGGCATTATTTATGGGTTGACTGTCTCTTTTCAGGAATGGATTGACTCATGTTTTAATTCCTTAGATGATTCAGTCCTTTGCCACTTGATTATGATATGCTGGCGCATCTAGGAAGCCCGAAATGACTAGGTCTGGAATAACATCTCTACTACTGCTTCCATGGTTGTTGATCAGGCATGTATCTTTCTTCACGAATGGTGTTCAATTAATTCTGGTAATCATCTTTCTGCTGTATCGGGTACTCATGCTATGAACTGGTCAAAACCTTATTCTGGTTGGTTGAAAGCTAACGTGAATGCTGCTTTGGATTCTCAGAATCAAAAGATGGGACTGGGTTTCGTTTTTAGGGACTCTGATGGGAGACTTGTGGCAGCTAGGCAAATGGCGTGGATTGGCTGCTTTGATCCAGGTGAAGCAGAAGCTCTATCTGTCCGCGAGGCACTGAAATGGATAAAAGCTCTCAATTTTGATAACATTCAGGTGGAAACAGATTGCTTACTAGTTGCCACTTGCCAGTGACATTCATGATTACCAGGCTACTTCCTCTTTTGACTTACTTATTAATGATGTCAAACTTCTAGCTAGAGAGTTCACTAATCTCAGCTTTTCTTTTGTGAAACAATCTGCGAATAGGGTCGTCCACGTGTTAGCTAGGGATGCCCTATCCAAATCTGGCTGTGTAGACTGTGTTTCGGTCCTTTTTCCTCTTATTTCTCATGTTTTGGACTCTGATTTAGCTTAATATATTTCGCCTTTTTCCTTTCAAAAAAAAAATTAAAATTTTGATGTATTCAATTTCTTTTCATTTTCGTGCTCATTTTCTAGAAAATGAACCAAATACACAAAGACAATTTTTCGTGTTGTAGCCAAACACAGGAAAGGAAAATGTTTTCTGAAAAATGACTCATTTTTCAGAAAACATTTTTCAGAAGTTATTTGTATCGTATCAATTTACATTAGAATGTAAATCGTACCAAATTCCCAGTCCCACATACATATTTAAATTGTATATTATTTGTATATTTATGAACTGTATATTTAAAAAAAAAAAAAAAAACTTAAATTAATATTTTAAAAAATCATTTAAACCTATAAATTATAATTAATACTCCTACAAATTTTAATTTTACAACATATTTGTACAATTATTAAACTGTATAGATTATATTTGTATATTTATGAAACTGAAGTTTATAATTTAGAAACTAAGAACTTAAAAGCTCGTCTTTTAGCTAGAGATGCTAAGCTAATATTGTGTTGGGTGCTTAGCTTGGTTTTGGTTTGATACCGGCCCTTCGTTTATTTTCAAGCTATGTAATGAGATTATGAATATATGGGTGGTTTTCTTTTCAAAAAAGAAACTAAGAACTTGCAATTTAAGAACATACTAAAATTTATAAGAACTTACAACTTCAAGAAAATAAAACCAATACACAATTATTGTAGTTCATCAGTACTGAAGTTTCCCTATAGGAGGTCAAACATGAGACCATCCATATTACCATTACATTGCACCCTGTATAAAGGGGCAAATTATACTCTGGACTCGTGTCCACAATGCATTGTGGACACGAGTCCAAAACGACGTCATTCTAAGGAAAAACGCGGCCTTTCAGTTCAAAAAAAAAAAAAAAAAAAAAAAAAAAAAAAAAAAAAAAAAAGTTGTCTCGAAGTTAACAGCGTTATTCGTTTGTGGCATTATAAATGTACAATTATGCAATTATGAATGTACAGTTATAGAATTATGAATGTAAATTATGGAATTATGAACACAGAGCTCTGACATTATGAACTTACAATTATGAACATACAATGATAAAGTTATGAACATACAATGATAAAATTATGAACATAGAGTTTCGAAAATTATGAATTTACAGTTATTGAATTATAAATGTACAGTTACGGAATTATGAATGTATAGTTATGCAATTATGAATGTACAGTTATGCAATTATAAACACAGAGCTCTGACATTATGAACTTACAATTATGAACATATAGTGATAAAATTATGAACATATACCCAGTGCCTAACGGCACCGTTACCGTGTCCAGCATGACATTATGAACTTACAATTATGAACATATAGTGATAAAATTATGAACATATACCCAGTGCCTAACGGCACCGTTACCGTGTCCAGCATGCATGCTGGACACGGGTCCATAGCATAACGGTTGGTATAAAGGGGCAAATTATGCCCTGGACCCGTGTCCACATTGAATTGTGGACACGGGCCCAAAACGACGTCGTTTTTAAAAAAAAACGCGTCATTTAGTTTTAAAAAAAAAAAAAAATTCGCGCGTGTTTTGCCGTTAACGGCGTTATTTTTTTTTGGATTATGAATGTACAGTTATGCCGTTATGAATGTACAGTTATGCCGTTATGAATATACAGTTATGCAATTATGAAATTATGAACATAGAGCTCTAACATTATGAACTTACAATTATGAACATATATAGTGATAAAATTATGACCATGGAGCTTTAAAATTGTGAATATAGAGCTTCGAAGATTATGAATGTACAGTTATGGAGTTATAAATGTACAGTTATGGAGTTATGAATCTACAGTTATGGAGTTATGAATCTACAGTTATGAGATTATGAATCTACAGTATGGAATTATGAATGTACAGTTATTGATCGAATTATGAACAAAGAGCTCTAACATTATGAACATATAGTGATAAAATTATGAACATAGAGCTCTAAAATTGTGAACATAGAGATTCGAAAATTATGAATGTACAATTATGGAGTTATGAATATACAGTTATGGAGTTATGAATGTACAGTTATAGAGTTATGAACGTACAGTTATGGAGTTATGAATGTATAGTTATTAACATATAGGAATAAAATTATGAACATATACTCTTACAATGAAGCGATCTGAAGAAGAAAAAAAAAAAAAAAAAAAAAAAAAAAAAAAAGATAACAGTGCCTAACGACATTGTTACCCGTGTCCAGCAAGCATGCTGGACATGGGTCCAACGCATAACGATTGGTATAAAGGGACATAGGCCTAAGTCCCTAACCCATCATCTCTAGTTGTAACACTTTTTTTTTTGAAAGGGAATAGAAGCCATTTTGTATTGCATGGCAGCCAAAAAAATGTGTCAAAATGTTTACAACAATTTCCCAAAGAAAATACAGTTTTGATGCCTGACATAATAATTGACTGAAAGAGGAACATGTATGCACAGATAATGGCATTCAATTTGAACTTAGCAAGTCAAAATTCGTTAAAAAATAGATTTATCATGGAAATTTAATTTGTTTTATGAGTACCTACACCAAAATACATGGAAATAAATAAAAATGAAGAAATGTTGTGAAACAGGACTGACAAGCTTAGCCGGTCGGGTTCGGATGCTGCCCCTCATCTTCGTGAATTCAAACTACTCTGGCCATCCTTAAGGCTCTAAAAAGGCAAAAATGTGACAAAAGTAGCAGATAAGATTTCCCTTATATAAGCAAGAGCGTAGACAATATAAACCCAAAATCACAATGAGTGAGCCAAAATTACACACCATTCGTTTAAATGATCTGTTTGGCGAAGGACTTTTCTTTGGGTTTTCAGCATCTGGCTTTGCCCGGTCAAGAGCCTGAATCAATTGATCAAACACATATAGTTTGAGAAGGACCAATAAGTTATCAGAAGAATCCACAAACAAATGTCACTTGATGTTGAACCCAACCCCAAAGCAAAGGCAAAATCTCCTATGAGACTGTCTCATGAATCATTATCCGATCCGTGAGACAAGTCGGATTTTTCGTAAGTATTATATTTTTCCTCATAAGTATTATAGTTTCCCTCATAAGTAACTCTTCGATCCCTAAATATTACATTTTCATTTAAAAGCATTACTTTTTCCATCAAAAGTATCACATTTTTTCTCATAAATAACAATCAATTTATCTCTGATTAGTATTAGATTTTCCATCGTAAGTACTACATTTATATCTAAACTCAACCCATCTGTGAGACGTGAGACAATCTCACAAGAGACTCACTAATATCACTTGATATTGAACCCAACCCCAAAGCAAAAAGGTATGAACTTCAAAAGGCTTTATTCAACCTTCTAAAGCTTACAGGGAAATGGCACTCCATAATAATTGACCTAATGTCTAGAAATAGAATAAATCCTTCAACTCAGTAAACTCACTTAGCTTGAAATCCTTGCCTTTAATTAATCATTTTTATAAAAAAAAAAGCATTAATCATGATAACCTCAGCAAGACCATGTATAAAATAAACAAATTGTGCATATCAGATGCTCAGCAATGCCTATATTTATTTAAAACAAGCAAAGATATTCTCCTTAAATGCACATGACAAATGTAAAGCATAAAAAGAGAGTTACTTGTATAAGTGATTCCACCCGACGCCTCATCCGAGTATGCATGAAACCCTCTGAACACTGTTTATAAGAGAACATTAAACAAATTGAGAAGAGAGGAAAAGCAAAATATACTATGGTGGAAATTAAAACCCTTCTAGCACGCTTAACATAAAATGACAAAATCAACAAAAGCCAGCCATGCTTAACGAAAGAAGAAAAATGTAAATTCTAATAAACTGGCAAATCAACTAGTAGAACAAATAAAATCCCCTCTACTGAAAATGAAATCCAATAAAGCCATCAATTGAAGGCGAAAGAAAGAAGATCCAGGAAAAGGGTGTGATGAGATATAAAAACTAATCCATTTAAAGAGCAGAAATTTCACCTTAACATGATAATTCACATACGCATGAAATGTTGAGAGATTCCAGACAGTTCTATCCAGTTTCTTTCCTTCCACATGACGAGGGAAAATTACTGTTGACCAAAAACATAAATATATGTCACTGAAATAAAGGGACTTATATGAAAAGAAGCAAACAGAAATACCTAGCATTACCAAATCTGAAATATCCAGCATTAGCTGATGTAGCCTCATTAACCACTCCTTCCAGTTCTTGAGGAGCAGAAGGGGACCAAAAACAGGGAGGGGCATTGTTGAGTCCAGCAGTTCGCCTTGCCTCCACAAATTCCTAATGATATATTGATAACCAGATTGTGATTTACTGAAATGTGCTGTTCAGATACACACAAACACATACATAGAGATATATAGACACAAAAAAAGGAAACCGATGGAGAGGGCAATTGGTAAGTATGAGGTACTATGTAGCAAGTGAAATTGAACATGACTTGTTAATAGTGATTTTTCCCATATCTTTGGAATTATATGATAGAGGAGAAAGGAAAGAAAATAAGTTTAATTAGATAATCAAATTACCTGAAGGAAAGACGATGCAAGAACGGTATCTACAGAGTCATTGAATCTCATAGGAAAGATGGCAGTTACTTTGTCTATCTGCAGCAAGCAGTTACAGTTTTCATTAAAAAAGGCGTTGGATTCTTCCAAACTTGCAATGACATAATTATATGACATATGGTGTGTAAGAGAGAGAATTAAAATTAAACCAAGACAAAACATTATAGGTAGATGCTACAACCTAGAAGGTTCGAGAAAAAATTGTAAAATAAATAAATAAAAGATTATTTTACTTCTTTCCGGGGGCATTAAGATTTCAAGATTTAGGTTGCATAAAATAGGAAAAAGAAACACTTTATCATGACAGAACCTAATGTAAACAGCGAGGTGACAGAAAAATAGTGAGTTGATATTCATGATAGATCATGTGCATTGTTGACCATAGAGAACCTCTGACCCTTTGGGGTAAGGAGACACCCAGAAGACAAGTAACACATGAACAACTAATAATGGAAGGATTCTAAAAATTAAACCCAATGTTAGGACACTTGGTTCTAAGATGCCAGACATTGGATAAAGAATTTGGTTCTAAGATGCCGGACATTGGATAAAGAATTTGGTTCTAAGATGCCAGACATTGGATAAAGAATTTGGTTCTAAGATGCCAGATATAGAAATATTTATGCTCTAGAAGTAATATACTAATGTACACTGAACAAAAGTTTCACCTGAGGAACAAGGAAAAAGGATTCGTTTGGCCGATGAACAAGGGAAATAAGCTTTTCTGAACTAGATGGAACTGTCCTCGAAACTAGATTTTTCAAAACTGCTCTTAATGGGGCCCCCATTACCACTTCCCTCACCGATGCAATCTTCACCAGTAAAGCATTCTTGTGATCTACAATAAAAGAACAGGAAACTTTAGAAATGCACACATACAAGAAATTTAAAATATGAAAGTCAAATGAACCAGAGTTTATAGAGCATCATCATATTACTTACAAATTATGCACAAATCAAAACATTTTTGAAATGTACACAAGCAAAGTTGTACTGAGGCAACTCCAGAAATATTGGTTCAGTGGGCTCAATATACATATAAATACACACACATAAATATATGAATTATTGACATTGTGATCCTACTAAATATAAAATTTTCATATTTCCAGTAACCCTACTGATTACATTAAGTTATACAAAGTGCAGACTCTGTTTGAAAGATAGATTTTGGTCTTTGCCAAAGACTAATTGTGCAATCCCCCAAAAATAAAATAAGATCACCAAAGACTTGACAGCAAACAAATATGCATAGCCATTAAACATCAGATTCTGAATTACACACTATTGGGTAAACAAAGACGCACTCGTCAAATATGTTACTGATATAAGAATCCTTAATTACTTCAAAGAATCTGAACAAACTTAATGATAAGCCTTCTTGATTGAAATATGTTATGACATTTCAGATGTAAATGAAAAAATTCCTTGTCTTTCCCCTAGTAAAAGTCAAATCAAGGTTTAGTTATAATACAAGTTTGTTTTAACATGTAGATGCATATAATACAATATTAGACCAGTATTTACTGAAAGGTAAAAGAAACTAATGGAATGACGCTTTGGGGGGAAAATATGTCCTACAGCGCACAATTATGACGAGCTCTTAAGTCATAATGACCTTAAAGAAGAAACTTGTAGAACCTTCATCTGGAGGAAGTTTGGACAAGTTCAGTTTCAATGTGAGATTAAAGTGATCTCTTGGAGGATCAAGAATCTGAGCAACCACACCATATGCTGCTTTTATGGCTTCTATCGCTCCCTGAGGAAGTCCCCCGAAGAATACAGTTTCAGGGGGTGGTTTTGGTATCGACATTGAAAGTAGCAATACATTCGAATTCCTCATTGAAGCCTGCAGAATCATTGTTCATCACACTTTCAGCATCAAGTCACATAGTTTATTTACAAAAATGCTCATCTTAAATTCTTAATCAATGCATAGAACACCAATCTACTACGAGCTCAAAAGACAATTAGAATGGTTGGAGACTCTACTAAAACAAGGCCAGTCCGCAACTCACCTGAATATGGAAACGAATATCATCAAATTCAACCCATTGGTACTCAAGTTCAACGCCTTTATCAAGACTGCAGAAATCAAGCGAGTAAATCAGGTTTTAGAATATTAAGTTGAATAAAGCATTTGATGTGTGTGTATAAACAATCACGCGAGATTATTCAGCTAACACGGAATATCATTTAAAATAATCAAAATTACAACACCGAAAATTACTAGCACCTCATTATTAATACAGATAATCACACAAAAACGATGACAATTCACAATAGTAACATCCGACAGATTGGGAGAGAACAGGAGAAGAAAAACAAAACAAAAAACTCGATACGAACTTTTGAACGCGGGTAGACAAGATCTGAAGGAGGTATCTGGAGTGGGACTGCAAGAGTATCATCTGATTTCACTTCGATGTTTCCGATGCCGGATCTCCAGCTTTATTAATTAACACAATCTCGTTCGTTCGAGCATAGCACAGAGCTCGCCGGAAACGATCTCCCGCCACTGTTGTTTGGAGCTCCGGGAACGAAACGATTATGGAGGAGTCTGAGTCTCCGCTCGGCTTAGTAAATGCTAAAAATGAATTTGTCGTAATAAGGGTTGCCTGGCCGGTGTTAGAATCGAAGATAGACCGTCGGTCACGTTTTCTTCAGCCTAATTATTGCTTTAGGCCACTCTCTTCTTTGTTTTCTTGTCGCTTAGACCCCTCAAGTTTGCGGAATTGGACAAAGTTGCTGCTAGGTTAGTTAGTGGATAATAACGGAACAAATTAATCAAGTTTCTAAAATGCCTTAAACATTAATCAAATTTAGAGCTATCGAAACAGGTCGACGAGTAGGGCCCACCAAAACCCGCCATATGACGAGGAAACGGACTTTAGGGAGGTTGGTCTATCCTGCCTCAGTTGTTATACAATGGACCATGGTCCACAGTGGTAGGTGGATCATAGTTATCAAATGAAACTGTAATAAAATTAAAATGAAACTATTGTGTATATAAAATAAAACTAAAAACAAAGCTCATCAATAATGTATATTGTCAAATGAAACTGTAGTATAATTAAAATGGTACTTTAGTGTTATTATAATGAAACTAGTGTGTATGGAAAATAAAATTAAAATTCAGAGTGTAATTAAAATAGTACTTTAATATTACTATAATTAAACTAGTGTGTAGAGGCCAAACACTTTGTGCTCAGATGGCATGTAGTGACATCTCCCATGTGGGAGATCATATGTTTGAACAGATACTACAATGTAATAGAGTCAGTAGCATTAAAAAAAAAAAAAATTAGTGTGTGGAGAAAATGAAACTACAAAATAGAGCTCGTGGAATAATGTATATTGTCAAATAAACTATAGTAAAATTAAAATAATATTATGGTATTGCTATAATGAAACTAGTATGTGTGGTATTTACTGGGCGTTTGGTTGGAGAGGGGGAATTACGTGGGAAAGGATTTGCAATTCCATGGGAGATGAATTACTGGGAATAAAGTGGGAATTTAAATTCCAATGTTTGGTTGACAGTAATAGAATTATTGGGAATTTCAATTACAATGTTTGGTATACATGGAAATTGAAAGGGAATAAGTAGTATAAAGTCCAAAATGTCCATTGTTGTGGTCCAGCATTAATTTTAAGTTAAAAAAGAAGGGATAATTTTGACTCATCACTATCTTTTTTTCTTCCTAAAATCCTAGGAATTAAAATACCAGGGGGGACATGGGATTTTAATTCCATGAAAATGGAGGAATTGCAATTCCTTTCAACCAAACAAGGGAATTTTGTGGCCTTTGAAATTAGGTGGGAATTAAGTGGGAAGGGAATTTAAAATCCCTCCAACCAAACGCCCTGTTATAGTTGGTTTTTTACTATTCCTCATTGTATTGAACATTTGACATTTGATTTAATGCACGTTAAGACCAACTATAAATACACTTATTAACCAAAGGAAATGACTTGCATTAAATCAAATTTCAATACAATGAGGAATAGTAAAGACCAACTAGAAATACCACACATACTAGTTTCATTATAACAATACCATAAGAGAAAATTTCAATTTTGGTCATATGACTATAGGGACTTTGTTAATTTCAGCACCTGACTTTCAAAAGTGTCAATTTAGTACCTTGACTATGCAATTTTTATCAATTTTGGTCACTCTGGTCAAATTGCCGGTCAAATTTCGCCGGAAAATTTTAACAGTTAAAATAATGAGGGCATTTTTTCTGGTGAATTCATCTTTTCCGGCGAATTCATCTTTTAACTATTAAAATTTTCCAGCGAAATTTGACCGGCAATTTGACCAGAATGACCAAAATTGATAAAAATTGCATAGTCAAGGTACTAAATTGATACTTTTGAAAGTCAAGTGCTGAAATTAACAAAGCCCCTATAGTTAGATGACCAAAATTGAAATTTTCTCAATACCATAATATCATTTTAATTCTACTATAGTTTCATTTGACAATATACATTATTGCATGAGCTCTATTTTGTAGTTTCATTTTCTGCGCACACGAGTTTAATTATAATAATATTAAAGTATTATTTTAATTACACTATAAATTTTAATTTTATTTTTCATACACACTAGTTTCATTATAACAAAACTAAAGTACCATTGTAATTATACTACATTTCATTTGACAATATACGTTGTTGATGAGCTTTGTTTTTAGTTTTATTTTCTATACACACTAGTTTCATTTTAGCAACACTGGAATATCATTTTAGCAACACGGTTCCAAAACTGTTCATAATTATGAATATATAGTTCAAAAATTATGAACATATAGTTCTATAATTATGAACATATAGTTATGTAATTATGAATATAGAGATTCAATAATTGTGAATGTGAAATTCAAAAATTATGAATATATAGCTTCATAATTATGAACATGTAGGTCAGAAATTATGAACATAGAGTCCTGTAATTGTGAATATAGAGTTCAATAATTATGAATATAAAGTTCAAAAATTATGAATATATATAGCTTTATAATTATGAACATATAGTTCAGTAATTATGAATATAGAATCGTGTCCACCTTGCAAGGTGGACACGGTTCCACAGCATAACGATTGATAGTTAGCCTAGCCAATTTTGACTTATTTGACCACTAATAGTTGTTTGACTTGGTTAAAAAATCAACTCCAAAATATTAAAATTCAAAAAACTGCTCAAAACAACTTTTTCAATTAGCATTTTGAAAAAAGAAATTATACTAAACAACTAATTTACCAAACACCTTCCTACAATCAGCTAATGTTATCAACTAGTTATACCCTCTAATTAACTCAATCAGCTAACAACCATTTACCAAACAGGGCCTATAAGTATTTGGTTAATCAGCCTTTTGTAACTCCAAAATGCTAAAATTCCAAAAGATTTTCAAAGCAACTGTTTCAATTAGCTTTTTGAGAAAAGAAATTATATCAAACAACTATTAGCTAACAACTAATTTACCAAACACATTTCTACAATCATCTAATGTTATCAACTAGTTATACCATCTAACTCAATCAGCTAACCGCCATTTACCAAACAGGGCTTATATGTTTTATTTTCTTTTCAATAACCAAATTTCTAATGGAATTTGTGTGATTTACAAACGATTTGTATGAGTAATTGCTTCAATAATATTTAAAGTTGAATAATTTTCCTTTTTGGTACCATAAATTAATTCGATTGCATATCTCTTGTGTCTTTGAGGGCAAAATTTTCGCCTTCAAATGCATATTTTTGTATTCAAGTGTACACTCTTTGTTAATTCTAAGTGTAATTTTTTTAAGAGCAGTACATCTTGATGAATTTAATGACTGAGATTTGTGCACATTTTTCACCTGGAAAATTCTTCGCGCATGATCACAAACACACACACACACACACACATATATATTAAATGGAGCACTCGACCAATACTCCAATACTACGGTTGTTATACAGTGAACCACGGTCTATAGTGCTATGTGGACCATAATTGTCAAATGAAACTGTAGTAAAATTAAAACAGTACTTTGGAGTTAAAAAAAAAATTACTTTGAAAAAAGTGTCAAATAGGCCACTGAAGTTTTACACATTGTGCAATTGAACTATCGAACAAAAAAAATGTGTGCAATTGAACCATTAAAAACTCAAAAATTGTGCAAATAGCATTTTTTATAGGTTACTCCAAGTTTCCCTTAAATATGATGTCATAATTTCAAATTATATAAAAAAATATTTTAATTATTATTTTTAAAATTAAAAGAAAAAACAAATTTTTTTGTTTAAAATTTCAGAAGGTGTAGGTAGAAAATTGTTAACTGAACAGTTCAAAATTGTTTTTAAAATTTGGCATGATTTTGGTGCATCGCTATAAGCTTGTTTTTAAAATTTAAAAAAAAAAACATTTTTTAAAAAAATTTCAGAAGGTGGAGGCAGAAAAAATAATATTAAAAATTGTTTTTTTTTTCTGAACTTTTTTTAAAAATTTGATTTTTTCTTTTAATTTTTAAAAAATAATAATTAATATAATTTTTTAATATATAATTTGAAATTACGACATCATATTTAAGAAAACTTGGAAGTAACCTTACAGAATTTTTGAGTTTTTAATAATTCAATTGCACACTTTTTTCGTTCGATGGTTCAATTGCACAATGTGCAAAAGTTCAGTGGCCTATTTGACACTTTTTCTTAATACTTTAGTCAGGGACGGAGGCAGCATGGGGCTGCCCCCACGGTAAAAAAATTATACATATATATATATATATATATATATATATATATATATATATATATATATATATATATATATATATATATATATATATGAGAACATGTGCGTAGGTGAGAACGTGAGAACACATCATGTGCATCCATCTAATATTTTTTAATAGTCTAGATTAGATTAGGTGTGTGCGAACGCGCATTAAATGTGTGCAAACACACTAAATCACATTTGCACACATTTAATGCGCATTCACACACACTATCTAATCTAGACATGTGACACCCCGTAAATCCAAGATCTATTTAAGGATTAATTAGATAATTAATCCTAGCTTAATTGATAATTTATTCATAAAATCCTGAAAATTCAATAGTGGGGGCTAGAAATTGACTAGTCAACCCAAGTCAAGGAGTTGTACTCTAAGCTTAAAGAATTGTTCCCTTGTATCCTTACACTTTCCCACTTTAGTAAGGGTAAAGAAGACTTTTCACCTTATGATTGTATCCCAAGCTAACCTAGAGTCATCTTTCATTCTGTTCCCTAACACCCTAAAAGAAAAGCTCATCATTCTCTCTAGAAAATAGCTAGCTTCTTCTTCAAGCCAAGTTTGGCCATTCCAAGATTCTTCAAGTTGGTCTCCAAGATTCAAACTTTCTTAAGTTTGAGCATATAGGAGGGTAAGATCCTTGGTCCTTTAGTGTTTTTAGTACCTTTTAAGATGTCTTTTTCTAAAGATGAAATCTTTGTTGTCTTTGGTGTGTTTGTGAAGTTGAAGTTGAAGGAGAGCCATAATAGAAACTTGTAAGGGTGTGATAAGTGAAGTTGTAGGCTACAAGAGGTAACCCATGCTTTACAAAATCTATTTTCTTACCTATATGATGATTTCTTGACTTCTACTTGTGATTTTTGCTATGAAATGTGAGTTTTGATGCATTGTCTTGTGAGAATGC